GTACGAACCCTTTGTACGAACAAAAGTAAGCGAAATTTAGGATAAGAATACGAACATGTTCTTGCATGAGGCCCATTGAGACTTCCTGGGTTATTTACCCCCTGATCAGAAGACGGCTGGCTCTTTCTTGAAGGTGTAGTATTTCTGTGTCATCAAATTCAYCCTGAGAAGAGTCAGACAAAACCTGAGGAACAAATAAAGATAATCCATGTTTGTAATTTATAAAAAGAATTAAAAAAAAAGGAGTAATAGCTTTTGTATTCATTTGGGATGATTAAAATATAAACCAACATTTGTTTATACATTTTTCACCAACAAGGCACTTATATTTCATTTGTCGTGGAAAAATAACAGCAGGATGCAATATGGATCATTTCCATTAAACGCACAAACACACTCACACTGAGGGATCTGTCATGGTGAAGCTTTCCAGCTGGGCTATAACTGGTAGGATCATTCCCATCTTTGAGGAGCAGGGTACGTCCAGGAATTAGACAAAAGGGCACAGAAGCTTTCGTCACAAAGATGCTGCCAAACTCATGAGCTTAATAGTCATAGTCTGTACAAATAATACATGCCTGTGACACGCATGTCCTTCAGATACAAAAAGTCAAAGAAAACATCTTTATGTTTAAGAAACCTGGCATATTACACTGGATTTTACCCATTTTGTCACATAACTGGTTTTTGGATCAGTCAAGATCAAACAGGAAGTGACATCAAAGGGGAACTCTTTAGAAAAAAAGAACTCCTTGCTCTTTGTTTATTAAAATAATATTATTTGAACGCTGACTCTTCTTCATCTCTTTTTGACAGTGACTCAAAATAATCGGAAGAAACTTCAGATTCTTCTCTACAGTCTGTGTTGTTAGCCAGTGGCTATGTTTACATGTGCAAAAYTCGAAGATCTGATTGAAATGTAYTCAGATGAAATAATCCAAATGTATATACATGGGCTCAAAATTAATTAAACCAATCATACTGAGCGTTCACATGCACCAGGTTTTATTCAGTATAGAAGTACTGACATTCGTTGAGTTGTAAACTTTCTCTTAAAAAAAAAAAAAAAAAAAAAAAACGCAGAAGTTCCATTTCTGTGATGAACATAAACCAAAGTCTTCTGAGTGCCCAGAATGCTAAAGCTGATCAGAATATTCTGACTTACATGACACATTTTTATTCCGATTGGCCGTTTATTCTGATTACTTATGTCCATGTAGTGTGTCAATAATCTGTTTACGTTCTGTCATTACCCTTTGACATCACTTCCTGTTACTTTACATCTCAACAACTGCTCATCTCAGCGGTGTGAAATTTTGTTTGCAATTCATGATTGTTAAAATGTCAAAAAATGCATTCATATTCATGATAAAAAGGTGATGTCACTTGCACTTTAAAATGTACCTTTGTCTGCTGCTTTAGCTGGAGTTGAACTGGGGACTGATGAGTGCAACAGCCACCAAAACGGCATCTGTTCTTCTCTGCTGGCAGAAGCCATGTGTTGGCGTTCCTCCCGACTCCGAGGCCGACCGYGGCGGAAACGTTCTACGTATCTGTTATGAGCAAAGATAAATGCTTTCTGATGCAAAACAACTTATCAGTTAATCAAAACTAACATCAGCAGATATATTGTACTTTGCCAGCACGGATTCTTCCTGAGCTCCTGAGGGAAGTGTCTCTGATTGAGATGGTTTACACGTCAGCGTGTCGGGAGAGGCGGTGTTGCTGTCAGGAGAGGAACAACGATCGACGGAGGGCCAGATATCTGTGAAAACGTGTCCATCAGCGACAGAAAAACCATYCTCACGATTGTCATCCAGCTGGTGGGTTTCCTGGTTTGCAGAGCGTAGCTGTTGACTGGAGCTCTGATGGGAACGAACAGGACTCAGAGTCTGCAAAAAGAATTTTAAAAAAGTGACATGTTTGAGGTATAAATAAATAAATAAATAAATAAATAAATAAATAAATAAATAAATA